ATGCCTCCTCGACCTGTCTAAACCACGACGGACCCATTCCACCCAGCAGAGCAACATTTTCACTGTTCATGTTTAAAAATTAATTGTGAAGTCTGGACGTCTGTGGGTGTTTAACACTCTGACTTACATCACATCCAATCACAGGGATGATTTTATTCTGTATGGCAGGGAACTCCCACCAGGGCCGATCCAGCCGGCCCGCTCATCTGAACTATAAAATATTGATTAACGCCTGGAAAAAGAAAGTGTGTGTGAGTTGAATAATCCATAAGCGACACTGATGGAAGAAACAGAATGTACTGATAATTTTAAACAAACCTCAGCTGCGAAGGCTGAGGAAGCCTCACTGGAGCTGCGAACACACACCCTGACACACCCTGGAGCTGAGGTTGTAGTTGGGCTAACAACAGCAGTCCACACAGGTGTCATTGAACCTGTGTTTTATCAAACATGTCACTGCAGACAAACAGCATCCCTCCTCTGGCTGGGCGCCGGAGAACCTCCTGATGCCAGGGGTCAAAGTTCAATCAGACTGAACACTGGAGTGGAGACGGGTCGATTCAGCACCAGAAGTGAATGTGTCTCACCCTGTTTCACAGAGACATGAATGGGAAACACGTTTTGGTGGAATTGCAACTCCAAGCTGGTCGTCCTTTTACTCTAGGTTCACCTAATGCAAGTGAGACTGACCAAAATACTGGTCACACGTGTCTGCACAGGTGAAAAAAATCCATACAACTTTCATGAAGAAAGTGTGACCTTCTTCCTGCTTAAGAGGACAAAATCAATCTGTCAGGAGTCAACAGAAGCTACTCAGTAACTGACTTTACTGCAGGATCAAATTACTTTCACTCATCTTAAAGACTGAATAATGTTAATAACACCAACCGCATGTGCAGAGGTCCACACGGTGTCACAGGTTCCGGCTGTTGGGTTTACTGTAGGTTTACTTTTCAGCTCAGGAAGGTTACTTCAATCTCGGTGGGTTGAGATGAGAGTTTCAGGTGTCAGCCTGACAAATGTTGAAAAGGCTGAACTTAATTCATTCTCACAGAAATGTTTGTACCACAGATGCCCAGTCTACAAGGCAAAAATAAATGTACTGTATGCGGTACACATTAACATCCTACTGACTTTGGTGCACTAACACTAGTTACTTACTTTAAATCATGAAATTCAGAACTACAGAAGTAAAACCTGATCTGCCTGATTTATCAGCATGATAAGATCCTATCTGCTGAAACCTTTTACTGCAGATCAGCACGGTCCATGTGGTTGAAAGGTGACAAGTCTGCATCCCAGAATAAATCCCTGATAATGTACTTCCTCCAGAAATTTTTCACCTTTCTATTGTGACCCAAGATTTATGCTGAATTCAACTTAACATTAAATATATGAATGTACATTTTAACCCTTTAATAAGAGCATGTCTATGTTTAAACAAAAGTATATTCATTTAAGCAGATATGTGGAACATGATGGGTTTACTAAGTCGGGGATCAAAGTTCAGATCAGGTCTTCCTGTGGGAAGCTCCTGCAGCTGGAGATTAGTCCAGCAGTTACATACAAGTCTATATGAACACAATGAAGTCATGACAATATGAGGTATTACTGTAGCATAGTTCCTCAGTCATAACTCATGATTTAGTCATGGTTCTCTTAGCAGGTGTACACTTTGCTTTCCTTGGAGCGCCACCTAGTGCCAAACATTAGAAATACATCCATCACCTGTGACTGTTTCACTGGGAAGACAAGCTGCATCTGAGCAGTTTCCTATATCACTTTTTATACTGCAGTTGCACAACAAAATCATCATTATCTCAGAAGCAAAGACACTTAACATAAGACTCATTTATTATCATCTACCAGTTTACCATTGATTTAATTGTGATACAATGTCAGAAAATTAAAAATGTATCATCATCATCATCATCACAGGAACATCAAACATTAACATTCTCCATTAGTTGACGGGTCTGTAAAACATCCAGACAGTGACAAGCAAAGGTGATGCCTAATCTTTTTGTTCAAAGTGCACAGACTTACTTTACAGCAACACAAGACATCAAACTCTGGATTCTCTCCGTTAAACACCTAGAGCCAGTGGCGGTTCTACATTGAATTACTCCCCGTGCGAGACCCCCCTCTACCTTGAGGTGTGAATGAAGCCGGAGGCTTGGCTGGAGCTGGGAGGCAGATGGTGCCATTTCATTACTATTAAAGATAAACCCGGACTTTATGTAACATGTGTCACATCTTAAATGTTTTCTTCCAACTACAAAATCAGAAGCGTCTCTACAGAAGTTTGCAGCCAGTGTGTATAATTTATAAATAAAAATACCTGGAGCAAAAAGTGAAAGGTTTGCAACACGGGGTTGTAACTTTCTAAGAGACTTGAGTCACGTGGTTGTCTGGGCATTACGTCAAAAACATGCGACGTAATGTTTGTTTAACACCAGGTCAAAATGGAGCTGAGTTCTTCACTAATACGTCCATGGCCGAACACGGAGGAAAACTCTTCCATAACAGTCGCCTTACTTTATTCCGTTTTAAGCCTTAATGTGCCTTCGGTGTTCGATGACCAGATGCTGGAGCTGTACCGTCTCCAAACGGGGCTCCTGAGGCGGAGGAGGCAGCGGGAGATGATGGAAATGGACCGGCGGCGGCGACAGTATCTGCGGAGGAGGAGAGCCTTCCTGCTGTCCTCCATCGCCGCTGTCCTGAGTCTCATGACCTCCACCAACAGGCCCGTCTGGGTCAGACACCGGAGCCCAGGTCACAACATCTGGTCCATGGCCGATTCGTTCGACGACGATGAGTGGAAGGCGCAGTTCCGCGTGTCCCGAGCGACCTTCGACTACCTGGTCGAACTGATCGGCCCGGCCATTAAACGCCGCAGGACGAACTACCGCGCCCCCATCGAACCGCGCCGCAGGCTGGCCATCACCCTGTGGTGGTTCTCCCGGTCCGGAGAGTACCGCTCCATCGCCGACATGTTCGGGGTAGGGATAGCCACGGTGTGCGTGATTGTGCGCCAGGTGACCTCAGCCATAGTGGAGCGGCTGTATCACCGCTTTGTGTCGCTCCCGAGCGGGCAGCGGCTGGACGACACCATCAGAGCCTTCAAGGACCGCTGCTACCCGCAGTGTGCCGGGGCCATCGGCGTGACCCACATACCAATAGCTCCTCCGAGGACCAACCCCGATCACTACATCAACAAGAAAGGGTGGCACTCCGTTATTTTGCAGGCTGTGGTCGACCACAACGTTTGGTACGACCATAACCTGTGCTGTTTAGGGGGCCCCTGGACCAGAGCCTCTGTTTGAAGTGACTAACATTTCTTGTTTGAACGTTCTTGGCCAGAATAGAAAAATAACTAGAGAGCAACACAAAATTAGTGCATAGACACACCAAACAACTGCAAATAGATGCAGTGATACAAAATTATCACAAAGAGGCAAAACAAATACTATAAAGATATGCAAAATAAATGTTAAAAAACTGCAGACTGACCACAGAATCACACAAAACAACCACACAGTCATAAAAAAGACACAAAATGCTACAAAAACATGCAAAACCATTACAAAGAAACAAAAAATGGCCACAGCTGTGTTGTTTGTAGTCATTTTGTATCTCCTTCGGTCTGGGGCTCTTACTTTGTTGTTGGAGGTGGGGGGGCTTTGGAACGTGCCTGTTCCCAGGGCCTCGTTATTTCACAACCCATCCGTGTTTATTTGTCCCTCATAGCTTCACTGATGTGTATGCTGGCTGGCCTGGGAGCACCAACAGTGCCACGGTGCTGTCCAGCTCAGACCTGTACCTGAAAGCAGAGGACCGCCCCGATGGTTACCTGTTCCCCAGGGAGGTGAGTGGACGCTACACAAGTCCACAGCAGCTTGTGCTGCTCATGTATTATTACTCATAAGTCACAGGGTTAATCCAAGTGCTTGCACAAAGGGCGTTTGTAGGGTTTTTCTAAAAAAAAAGTGTCCAGAGATGACATTGGTTGTGATTTGGCGCTATGCAAATAAAACTGGATTGAATTGATTTGAATCAAGCATCTCATTTACATGGAGTGAATTACTGATCATCTTTTTAAAAACCTGAGTTTGTTAGTGAACTTCCTGCTGTTCTGAAGGTATTTCCAGTCTCCTCAGCACCATCTGCAGCTCTAAAAATGATGATGAATGTGGAAAAGTCAGAAAATGAAATGTGTGTGTGGAAGAGGTGTGTGGGTGCCCTGGATGTGGATGAAAGTGTTCCTTGTTGTCTGTGTAAATTGTTGATTATTTTTATTTCCATTACCTCAGTGGAAGATGAGATTACTGATATACACAGGCTATTTACTGTAATTCTGTTTTTCTGCAAAGCTCTCCTTCCCTAGTTTAGCCACCATATATCTGGGATGTACTGCAACACAGGAATAAACAGTAAACACAGTTGCAGGTTGTGGACAGGGCAGAACCTTTGTTGTAGTTGACAGGGGCTTGGGGATGGGTAAGACCTATTGTGATAGTACATTTTCTGGGAATTCAACTGAGGAGCTGTGTATGATAGGCAGATTTACACCACCGCTCAGACGTTTTAGAGCCCCTCCATGTTTCCAGCTGTTGTTGTGTGATCCAACAGGTGAACACACCTGTGTCATCCCCCTCTCCAACTGAAACCAAACAGCTGGGACAGACAGTCCTACAGGGTGAAACCCTGAGCAGGTCTGACTCCCTGTGTTCATGGCCTTTTTCCACATGGAGCTTCAGAGGGAGCAGTAACACAGTCTGATCCAGCTCTGCCTTTGTACAGACAGAATCTGTTGCTGTCAGTCACCAACCACAGTTGGGACCTGTAGAAACTGTTGGCATCAGTTTTCAAGGCTTCATTTACTTCACTGCTGCAGAGAAGATGGACGTTCACCTGCTACTAGAGCCTGAGAAAAGCTGTTTTACAGTTACACAGTTTTAGTTGTTGGTGACTTTTGTTTCACCCCTGGCAGTTTGCGTCTTAACTTTGTACCAGTTAAGGTTTATCACTGGACCAGAACTGGTTATGGGTCAGTATAAATTGGGAAAATGAGGTGGTCTGAAACTTTTAATTGGAGCTTTAGTAAATGTCAGATTTTTGCTAGTCCACCATGTCATGTAGATCAATGTCTCTTTTTCAGAGATCTCTTGTGTCTGATGGAGTGGAGATCCCCGTCCATCTGATTGGGGATCTATCATTCCCGCTGAAGCCCTGGCTGATGAAAGGATACAGCGAGGAACACCAGCTCTCTCCTGTGCAGCGTCGCTTCACCTACACCCTCTCTGCAGCTCGGTCTGTGGTTGACACTGCTTTCACACGGCTGAAAGGACGCTGGAGGTGTCTCCTGAAGAAAAGCGACATTGACATCTTGATGATGCCCAGAGTTGTCGCTGCGTGCTGCGTGTTACACAACATTTGTGAACTCAGAGGAGACGGTTTCCTTCCTGAGTGGAACACTGAGATGGCTCCTTCTGGAAATTATTTAATACAGCCTGATAGAGAACTACATGCAGAAGACATGTACTGCACTGCTGAGGTGATCAGAGACACTATCACCTATAACCTCTTGACAATATTGCAGTACTGAACACAGACTGACTTCAGTAACGTCCCAGCAGCTCAATAAAAATCAAGACAAAGACCTGCCATTATTAACTTCTGCAGTGTAGAAGTTACACGAGCAAGATAACCTTACAGAGTTTTAATGACATTTCTAGTGTTGCTTAGATTTGTCTTTAAGATGTTAATTAAATCATATAAAATCTTGAACTTCCTGTCACTGTTTCCACAGAATCATTAAATCAGAACATGAAAAACTGCTAAATGTTTATAACATCAGTAGCAATCAGTGCTGCAGTTTTCTACATCACACTGATGTAGCGCAAATGATATTTTTTAGCAATCACAATTTTGTGTTAATTGTACTTATTTCAATTTTATGCTTCTTTATACTTTTACTCTACCACCATTCAGAACTAAATATAGAACTTTATACTACACTACATTTAAGTACAGGTTATTGATACATCTGTTACATTTTCAGTTTTAACAGTTCTACAGTCCATTGTGTGCAGGTGTAAATGTTAATAACCTCTTCTAAATGGATTTTGGAGGCTTTGGGATCCTGCATGAAAGAAAACTGTTAGCCACAAAATGTCGTGTAAAATGTATATTAGTATCTGATGTATTAGCTATTAATACATACATTAATTCGTATATAAACCTATTATTAATTCTTCTTCAGAAAGTGGTTAGCTTTACCTAAGTTGCCTGTGTCCCGCAGTGTGTTGTGGCTGTGAAGTAGATTTGTTTGAACGGAAGGAATGATTAACGCGAGCCGAATGCTGCTTTCGTAGTTAGAAATGTTTACAAAGCTGTACCAAAGACGTTTTCGTGATTGTGTGTTTTTTAAAACAGCATATAAAAAGTTTTCGCCCTTTTTCTAATAGACTTCCCGTTAAACTGCAAACAAGAAACAACCGGAAGTAGTAGCAGTTGGTCTAACGGTAGCCCCACCCATTCTTGTTCGAGCTACGCACGTTTAGTGGGATGGGGTAAGATACGCTGTTTCTGGTATTCTTTACGTAAAATGCGTGCAGGAATGACGTTTCAATGTACGGTCAGAGCTCTCCGTAAGTCAACAACAGCTACGTATAATCGTACCTGTCAGTCAAAGGACATTTAAATGGCCACACTGTACAGAGTCGTGTACATTACACCGCCGTAATAACACTATTACGGTGATATTTTGGCAAGCAGCTACATAAACACCGTCTATTTTTCTTGTCTGGGCTGCTTTCTATCCCCCGAACCGGGATTTTGTTTGCTAAGTTTGTCCAGAAAGACAGAAATGAGCGACGAGGACGACTTTTTGCAGAAAGCCCGAACCGGGTTTGAAGATCTCTGTCGGGCGCTGAATATGGACGAAGAGGCGAGCAACGAAGCATGGAAAACCTACGAAAACATGAGCAGAAATTTTACATTAGAGGTAAAAACACAAGTACATGGGCTATAGAATTGTTTTTTGTCTCTCGTAGCTTTTATCGCTATTGCCGCTTTTTGCCCGTGTCCCTGTTTACCGTAACGTTATGGCTTGCGAGGTTAATCTTTTGACCGTGCTAGCTCACCTTAAACCTCTAAATAAAAAAAGAAAAGAATAGAATCATGAACTGGAAATGATAGACTTGGGTGTGAATGTGTTAGAACATCCTAAACCACAGTTTCTAGCCGTAGGAGGCTATAAACGTGATGGTTAGCCTACAAACAGGTTAGTGCAGTGCCAACGCACACACAGCTGCGTGACATGGTCTGTGTTTTAATGTGTGGATGAGCAGCTGGAGCCGCCAGGGAGGGAGGACTGCTAGCATGGCTCGGTGTAACCCAACACACCAGACCCACTCTACCTGCTCATTAAGTACTCAAGTTCACGTTTATTTATAGAACAATTTCAGCCTGAAACCCCCCTGCAGTGTTGGGAAGTAACTAAGTACATCTACTCAAGTACTGCACTTAAGTCCACTCTTTTTGAGGTACTTGTGTTGTATTTGAATATTTCTATTTTATGTAATGTTACTTCTCCACAGTATTGCAGGGAGGGAGACCTTTTACCAGGTTTATCCCAGAAGTGTAGTTCCTGGACGCTGTGCAGATTGAGATTTTACTTTATTTTATAGCACTTTTCTTAAGCTACAAAGCACTTTATTGAGTATTTTATAAAATAAACAACACAGGAAATGTTTCAGCCATTAAATCAGGTCCTGCTTGACCAACTACAAAAGCTTTTTAAGCGTAAGGAATACTTAAAATTTTAATACAGGTACAGTGTGATTCTTGTATTTAATTTTCATAAAGTTTATCTGTATGACAGGGGGAAGGGGAAACAAAATACAGCATGTGTGCAGGTAGAGCCACAGCATCTTAGGCGTAAAGTGTGGCTCCCCTAACAAGGTATTAAAGCTCACAACCACATAATACAAGAGCAAAAGTATCAATGCTGAAATGTATACAGATAAAAAGCTGCAATAATGTACAAGACTAAAACAACATATTACAACTTCTCAATAATAATTTTATTATTAATAATTAATCATTTTATTTATTCTAAACCATTTGAGGATAGGTTTATAGCATCTCTTGGAATTAAATTCCAAATTCTTGGACCTCCCCTAGAAATTGTATTAAAGCATGACAGTAAGACTTTGGTGCTTTTCCTTAAGTAACCTTTTAAATACAGGACCTTTGCTTGTAATGGAGTATTTACACAGCAGTAGTGCTGCTTTTACTTACAGTATGTGAAAGGATCTGAATACTAACTACACCACTGCTTCTGCTTCTGCTAAAATGTCAGAGATATACACGCACCGACAAGACAAACGTCTCATGAGTGATTATTTTGTTGACTGATTATTTATTTATCATGCATGATGGTAAACTGAATATCACGCTGTATTTAACAGGCTTTTTTGACCAATTTATGATATTTTATAGACAAAATGGTGAATCAATTAATCTGGAAAGCAACTGGCAGATTAATGAATCTTCTGCAACAAAAATAATGAACACTAGTTGTGTTGGTGTTGCACACTCAGAGAAGTAACAGTTGTTTTTGTTCTGTTCACCACTTTCTCTCCTCTTCTCCCCCTCCTCTCTCTCTGCCTCCCCTCTCACCCATCCTCTCACCCCACTCACTCCCTTGTACATGCATTCTCATGTCCACCCCCATGTGCAGGGCAGTGAGCTGCACTGGTTGGCCTGTGCTCTCTATGTGGCCTGCAGGTCCTCTGTGCCCACAGTGGGTAAAGGCACCACCGAGGGCAACTACGTGTCTCTGACCAGAATCCTACGCTGCTCACAAATGAGGTAGGCCCATAGTGCACCTGTGCACTCACCTGCACGTCTGTCTGCACCAGTGAGCACAATATCACACAAAATGTTAAATTATTCCAATTTTAAATGTTTGTTTAAGTTGGAGTGTAGGGTATGTGATCTCTGGAATAGTTACAAACAAACAGGTTAGATAGACTGCTCTGAAAATACAGACCCCAGAGTTCAACCTCAGTCACTGGTGCAACAAAAGTGATTGTGCCTGTGTTTTATAATTCAGTCTAACTGCGTGAACAACGTTATAAACGAACCTGTGAATATGACAGGTGTCTCAGTTTTGGCCTGGGTTGTGTCTGATGCAACACGGCTCCACATGGTGAGGGACTGTCTGGACCGGCACAGTGATTATTTGTGGACACTGGTGTGTCAGTGACTCAGCAGGCAGCCTGAAGGACGTGGCATGAAGTCGACACACAGACAGTTTTTGATCCTAACATGGGTTAACCAGTGGCTTAAAAAGACATCTTCTGTTTTATTTAAACACACAATAAACTCAAATCTCTTCTTTCTTATAGTATTTATGATAAACCCAAGCTCATTTTAAACTTGTTCACCTTAACATCCTTTAACTAAATTTGCAATTATTCTAAACCATTTAGCTTGAGAAAAGATACAGACAATTAAAAATACAAATTGTGTAGTCTAGTGAAATTGTTTAATCTAGTCATAATACAGAAAGTCTAGCTCCTCATTCCCCCTGCGTGGGTAGACATACTCTGTACATCCTGTGGTACCATGTTGTTGCATCCATTTGATGTTTTTCTTTGTGAACATATTCATCAGTCTGAATGACATTTTAAAAATCTAAATCAAATAGTTTTTTCTAATCAAGTGTCAAAGTAGGTATATAGACAGAGCCCTAGTTAGTGACCAATAAATCAGCATGTAGCGGTGACAGCATGGACATAATAATGGAGATGGTGGGAAATGAAGAAGGTGTAGACGACCGCCTCCTCACAGATTAGTCCAGGACACAAACTACAAGCAGTGCTTTGTGATCATCCTGGTGACTGAGGTCAGTCTCTTCTGTACTTTTTCCTCTTGTGCAGCCTGATTGAGTTTTTCAGTAAGATGAGGAAGTGGCAGGACATGGCCAACCTGCCGCAGGATTTCCGTCAGAGCACCGAGAAGCTGGAGAGGAACTTCACTGTGTCGGCAGTCATCTTTAAGAAGTACGTTCCCATCTTTAAAGCCATCTTCAGAGCCCCGTCAGAGGAGGCGCCCAGAGTCCACCGCAGCCGCAAACAAAGGTGGGGCATCATGACCTCTGACCTCACCAGAACATGAAGGTTTAATACGTGAAAAAGAACAGATACAATTTAAACTCACTGAAGGTTGTAGAAGTTTTGATGTCCGTTAAGTAAGTTTTGTTCTGCTGTGAGAGACTTATAAAAGATTTTTTAATAAAATCTAAGTTCTTCAAAATTCATTAAGCCCCACAGACAATGGATGCTCTACTGAGTCTTTCATTAACAGTCGGTCTTAGATCCATTTAGCTGATATGTACAAATATTCCTGATGGTTTGTCTACCACCACGAAACATACCACTGTGAATGTGTGTCCATGTAGTTAAATGTATGTGTTTTAAGGTCAGTGACTTTGTTTTCCAGACGCCATCCCTGCACTGTGACCGAGGTCTTCAACTTCTGCTGGGTCTTGTTTGTCCATGCTAAAGGTAGAGATTCACTGTCCATGCACATTAGAGCAGCTGCTCCCTGAGCTCTGCTGTAGCTGTGCCTGGTTCAGAAGCTTTAACGTGAACTCACAGAGAAACCCATCTTTAAAATGAAGGGGTAACTTGACCAGGCCTCCTAACAAACAGTAACGACCAACAGCAAACCAGAGCCCGGGATCAGCGTGTGACTGAACAGAGTCCGATCTGAAGGTGGCAGCTCAACATCGTCATGTAAGATCCTGCTGCCTTTCACCAGAATTCAGCCCATTTAGTTCCTCAGCTGAACTCATAAAACATCCAAACACATGGATGGAAAGATTTCCTGGACAGGAGGATCTGGACCAGGGATCTCCTGCGATATATTTTAGCTGTAATTATGAAACTACAGGAAGAGCAAAAACTCAACACCACATCATTCACAAGTTTTAAGAATAATTTATTGTAGACAAATGTTTGTGCTCTCAGGGTGCAGTCTAGTTGTAGTTATGGATTTATTTACACTCTGAGGTTAGGGTTACACACACTGAAACTGTGTGGATTAAAAGTCTGAGTCCTTTCAGATGTTCCTAAAACAAATTAATACCCAGTGATCTTTGCTGAGCTGTTTGCTTTACAAAAAAAGAAGATGGTAATTGAAATGATGCATCTGTGCTCAGCTGTGCATTGTGAACCAAAATCTAAATTATGAACATGTTTCTTGGGTTGTGACTGTATTTTCTGTCCAGATAGCTGGAAATGACATGTCTTTGCTCTTTTTGTAAATGACAAGTAAAAAGTATGCACAATATGAACTGTTTGAAGGAACATCACAAGATCCAGTTTCACTCCAGTAAAACAAAGACGTGTCATTTCAGCTGCGCTACCATCTGTTCTGTTTTTTTTAAAAGCGTACAGAGTCACAACCAGAGAAAAATTAAAAATGAAAATGTTTGTTGCAGTAGACAGAATATTTTTCATCCAGACGTCTTCAGAACAACAGGAGGTGTTGTTAAGCCGTCACTGAGTACTTCTCTCTCTCTCAGATGTTTACGTCAGTGACCTGAATGTCATGCTGATACTACTGAGGATTGGGTGTGTTATTCAAGGCATCCACTGTGGTTTTACTGAGGAGAAGAGCATTAGTCTGGATTTACTTTTGCTTCTCTCTGCTGCCGACATCTTTCTTAAACCTCACACTCCTTCATATCTGATGTCTCGACAGCTAAAGAGGCCGGTCAGGACCTGCCTGTGTAGATTTGACACTAACACTGTCACGGTCTGACAGTGTATCCTGTAGACTTGACCCTTCAGATGGTGCCATGTGTCTCTTTTGTGCCTGTTCAGGGAACTTCCCCATGATCAGTGATGACCTGGTGAACTCGTATCATCTGCTGCTGTGCGCTCTCGACCTCGTCTTCACCAATGCTCTACTGTGCAATGCCAGGAAAGACCTGCTCAACCCAAACTTCAAAGGTACCACACTCTGCACTGCTGTATCCTCCTAAAGTTCTGTGGAAGATTCACCCTCTTGTATAGGAAGCAGTTTGGATTCTTTTTTTAGTTCAGGACCATCTGTGTGCCTAGCCGTTGCTCCTATTGTTACTGAAAATTTGGGGAGAACACAATTTGAAATCTGGAATAATAATGACAAGAATTTGAATTAATAACAAAATATTATTAGAGTTGAAATTAAATTCTGAGAAACTAATTTCAAAACTTTTACACCTCAGACAATAAAATCAAAACCTGAAGTCTCTCATATACAAAAGTATTCAGAGCTTTTATTCAGGACTTTGGGAAGTAGTTACAGCTTCCAGTTGTGGTGGTTGTCAGTCCACAAGCTTTGCTCACCCAGATGTGGACCGTTTATCCCGTTCCTCATGGCAGAGCCGCTCCAGATCTGTCAGACTGGATGGGAAGCGTCTGTGACCTGCCGTCTTCAGGCCTCTCCACAGATGTTCACACACCGTGCTACCACACCAGTGTGTGCCTCAGAGCCCAGAGCATTTTGGTCACGCGGTAAAACATGACGCTGACCGTCACTAAATCAGCACAGGCGTATAGGAAGCCTGCTTATCACTCGTGTACAGCACTAAATCAGACCTAAAATAAATCACAGGTTTTGTTCTTGTTGCTGAACAGATTCCAACCAGCCAGCTCCCATGAAAGTGTATATCAGCTCTGGCCTGTCTTCCTGTTGACACCCTGTGTTTCCTCTGCCTCGAAGCTGCTGTGCCAAGAGCCCACCAGCCTGACACCACTTCCAACTGTATTCAGACAGGAAACAAACTTTTTTCTACTCTGAATGCTGGTTTGGAAATAGTGACTTGCAACAGGGAATTTAAGATGATGTGAAACATTGATCTCCTCATTTCCTGTGGGAAAAGAATATGTTGCAGCAAAAACTACAGGCATGGATGGATTACTGAGCAGGCCTGTCAGGATCTGACCCAGGGGCCCCCGGGTCAGAGCCCCTGTTGAAGTCACTGAACATTTTTGTTTGAAAGTCAGATAAGTTGAAAAAGACACAAAGCAATCACAAAGAGACTACAACTACTACAGAGACGCACAAAATGATAACAAATAGACACAGAGTGATTGCAAAGGATGCAAAATGACCACAAAGAAAATCATAACAACCACACAGAGTCAGAAAAACACTGCAGAGACACACAAAATCCCTACAGAAAGTGCAGAATGACAAAACGGAGATGCAGAATGATACAGTCATCTACAGGTAATTAAGTTAAAAAATTGAGAAAAAATGGCTGCCACTGCTGTTTGTAATCATTTTGTGACTCCTTCAGTCTGGGCTGGGCCCCCACTGCTCTTACATGGAGGTCAAGGAGACATTTTGTGTGTCTTTGTAGTACGTTTGATCGTTTTTTTGGAGTCTGTGTGGTCATTTTTGCATCTGTGTATCCTTACATGTCTGTGCCCAGGGAGCTATTATCTGTTGAATATAAAATTGGCCATACGAGCGGTTAACGAAGAGACAAAAGAGAAAGAAAAGAATGTAAAGAAGAAAAACGGGATTATTCAAGGAGTCCTGAATGTACGTCCACTCTCCATGTTACTGGTTGTTCTGGTCACCAGTGTCCTCTCTGTCTGTGTGGGGTCTTCCAGGTCTGCCAGAGGACTTCAGCAGTAAAGACTTCAGACCGTCCCCAAGTCCACACTGCTTCATAGAGCAGCTGTGTGAGCTGCATTACGGGGTGGCGCTGGAGGCCAAAGGAGTCAAAGAGCACTTCTGGAAACCCTTCATCAAGAAACTCTTCCACAAGAAGGTGGGGCAGATTGCACACATCACTAAAGAACTGTAATGTCCCACACACTTCATGTCCCCGACTAGTGATGAATTATTTCAGACAGTATTATCTGTCTTGATTTAAAAGACCAGCGTTTCTGCTTGCCATATGTGTTCAGACTTGGACTGTCTTGTTCTTTCCTCAAACAGCCGCAGACTTCCACTCATTTTAGCGTGATACAAACATGAATTTTAAATGACTTGAAAGAGGAGAGAAGTACAAGCAGATTTACCAAAACAGGTAAAACCAGCAGTATGGTCCTTTAGTCTGAGGCTGGCTTGCACATCACCAGTGTGCACGTGTATCAGGACTTAAACCTGCAGTGAAAATGAAGAGTGTTCAATGTGAAGGTGGCCTGTTGCTTCACAGGTCAAAGTTCACTAAAGTTCAGCTTGATAAACAAAGTTTAGGGTCTTTACTTCGACCTGCTAGTGAGTCCACTAATCACAGTGATATCTCTTTTGGAATAAACTGATATTCCTGCATTATTTTCCTGTTTTAAATGCTGCTGTTCCCAGGACATAGTCACTCATTGAAACCCCACCAAAACAAAGCTCTTGTAATTTCTGACTTCATTTCAATGGTGGACATCTTTTCCTACATGGTGTAGTTTTGAACTTTTTGCCACCACAGTTAGGAAACAAATGCCACACTGCTGTGGCCTGGTGCGCTTTAACCCCCCCCCTCTCCATCTCCCACAGATTCTCAGAGGAAAAGAAGACAGTCTGACCGGCTTTCTGGATCCCATGAACTTCGGAGACAGTTTGTGAGTGTCAGCTGTCATCATACATTGTCACAGTATTACAAAAATGTACTGAAACCACTCGACACCACTGTTCCTTCATCTAGTTCAGAGGTTTTCAAACTGTGAGGTACCTCCCTGGGTGAAGTGAATGGGTCAGGTGTGTGCAGGAGCAACAGGAGGTTAGTTAATGTGGTCTGACAGAGTCAGCAGCCATGTGGCTTTGGAGGTGCATTATGGGAGCTAAATTTCAGTGCCCCTCAAGAGGTAGTACTAAAATTACCAGGACTGTGAGGGAGGGGGTGTGCATGCAGAGCGGTCGATGGTGACTGGATAAATGTTTGTGTCTTCACACCTCAGTCATCAGCATTACAAGCACCATGTGTAAAGACACAGCTGACTGTGTGTGTGTGTGTGTGGGGGGGGGGGGGGGGGGGCCCGGCCCCCCGCAACAGAGAGAAAATACAGTGGAGAAACAAAGCAGGATGGTCGGCGTCGACCCCAGAGGCTGCGCTCTGTGATAGTTAACAGAAGTATGGGGTGCACCATCTGTTAGGTTCCTGTAGTGGAAACACAGCTTTACTCTGCAGTCAAGTCCACTTTTCTCTCCTCTTCTACTGCATTCTGTTGCTTTAGGCCACACCATTGTGCTCATTTTTTGAAATCTACTCCATTCTGTTTTTAGAGTCTCTGCCCTCCTCTGATTTCCTGTCCTCTCTTCTCAGCTCGTCTCTCAGTCGGGTGTATGAGGAGCATGTCCTGGCCTCTGGCAGTCTGGATGAGAGGATCTTCATTGGAGAGGGGGCAAATGAGGACATCGGCACCCCACGGCCCTGCCTGTTTGAGGTGGTGGACAACCAGGACATCGCCACCTACAGGCTTTACACCAACGTCACTGTAACACTGTGGTCCTAATTTAAGCCAATTTAATTTAAACAGCCTTTTGTTGATTTTTAATCTTCCTGCTATTGCTGCATCCTCTGTTTTGTCTTCTTTTTGAAAAATAAAATTATCAACCCGCCACTTGTCTTCTCCACAGGCATCAGCCCTGAAGGTTTCCACTCCTCTGACAGGGAGGAAGTTCATCCACGAAAACAGCCTGGCGTGTCCGGTGTCGTCTGCCATGGAGAGTGTCGGACGTCTCCACACTCTGCTCTCAGGAACCAAACAGGGGCCGAGCACTAAACTAACAGAGACTCTCAGGTCTGTTTTATCAGTCAGGGGACTCATTTGCATCAGTGGCGGTGTATCAGAACGATGGAGTGATAAGGCTAGGGTGGTAACATCACAGGCAGTCAGTGATCAGTTGTCTTATCATGTCTCTGCTCATAAACTATGTTCAAATTTTCCAGTATGACAGCAAAACTAACACATCAGGTATAGATGTGCTCATTTGTCTGTGCATACTGTATGTTAGAGCTTAAGTCTGATATACTGGTGTGTTACTGCTGATGTTAGAATGAATCCGTTCTTAGTGAATGATTACTGAAGACCACGGAATTAACACAGACACGGTTCATTGCACTGGGCTGGTGATTCATCAGTACTTTTAATTAGACTCGTGTGTATTATCTTCTGCAGGTTGTATTGACAGAAACTGTTTCCGTTTTTGTCTCAGGACCTGTGCCAGAGACCCCAGTGATGTCATCAGTAAGCGCCTGAAGGACATGTATGAGCGCTTCTCTGAGCATTATGAGGGCAGCGGTGCAGAGAACAGGGGCATGGGGAAAGGTCCATGAACGCACCAACACAACATTTAACTGCAGTGCCTGATAGATGTGATTCTAACTACTGAACTACTTCAATATTTGTTTCCCAGCAGACATGGCAGTGAAGTATTTCCACCTGGCAGAGGCGCTGTACTACAGGATCTTGGAGTCCATCATAGAGAGAGAAAAGATGATACTGGGAGATGCTGACCTGTCTGTGAGTGTAAAACATACAACACACTTCTCTGCTTGGCAGTGATGCAGAGATGAGACTTTGAGACTTAAGCCAGTTGACTGTGAGGTTTAACTTGACTTTAACAGGTTTACCGAACTGATTTTTGAGCAGAGGGTCATGGAGGGGGTGTAGCTGAGAGACACCCCGTCCTGTCCCACTGTCACTGGGGTTATCAGACACTGTGGAGAATCTAAGTTAATGTAACTTTAACAGCTCTTGGATTTAACCTGGGGAACATGTGTGTTGTAGTGTATTCTGGAGCAGGACATCTTCCATCGCTCCCTGCTGGCCTGCTGTTTGGAGATTGTCATCTTCTCCTACAGGCCTCCAGGAGATTTCCCAAATGTGATCAACATCTTCCAGCTCCCTGCCTATCACTTCTACAAGGTATCACTTACTGAAATATGTTAACCCTAACCCTGCTGTAGAGATAATGGTCAAGTTACTTGAAACTCTTAGTTTTGTGACAAGAATTTGTAGAAGTCAGTGAGACTGAAGACGGTATTTTCTTTGAGTAATGTAGGAAATCTAAACACTTTTGGACTCCAATAGAAAACTTTTCATACATGAAATAAACAAAGTAAAACATGTCCACCAACCAGAAGGAGTGTTTATCACAGTGGTGGAGGAAGCACAGTAATAAATGGATAACAATATTTAGTGAGAAGTGAGATGGCAGCAAATACACAGACACATACAGGATGAAGGTATATAAAAAACAAGGAAATTTACAAGTCCAACAACCGATTTGTTGCGGAGTCAGATATGGTGATGTTTGAAACAGAACAAACAGGGAAGGAGGTTGGAAATGTATGAATGATGAATGAGAAGGTTTCCTTCTAGACGCCTCTCAGTCTATATCTGTGTGGCAGGTGATCGAGGTGCTGGTGCGGTCGGAGCAGGGTCTGTTTCGGGAGGTGGTGAAACACCTAAACCAGGTGGAAGAGCAGGTTCTGGACAGTCTGGCCTGGACCAGTGACTCCTGGCTGTGGGAGAGTCTCCACGGGGCCAAAGACCACGTCCCAACCTGCCAGGAGGTCTGGACACACAAAGAGAGATACACTAACAGGACACAACAACACTAATACAGAAACATGCTCACCCCATTATGTGGACTTGTGTACATACATATATTTTAGATGTAGTTATTTTAATGCATTTTGAGTATGAATTAATCTGAAATTTAAATATATATTTTATTGTCCCTGAGGGGGATTTTGTCACAGGTGCTGAGTGTGTACAGGGTGCACACACAAGAAAGAATAAAGAACGTGTACACAGACACACAACATGTCTGTAGTTTCTTCCACAGGCTCATGGTTCACACTCCTTCAATGTGCCTTGTGCTTGTTATATAACTTACAAGGGACAGGTATTTATCTGTCACCGCTTGTGTTTGACTTTGGATCAGAGCAGTGTGTTTGTCCTGTTCACAGTGTGTGACTGACTGTGTGTTTCAGGTGATGCCTCCTCAGCATCTGGAGCCAAACGATGAAGGCAGCACAGGCAGCGTCCCCCTCACACCCATCAGCCACGGCCCCGACCTCAACACCAGCAGCACGCTCAAAGGTGAACGCGTGTTTCTGGACCTACAGTTTATGCTCTTTGTCAGTCAAATCCATCAGAACTTTATTTATACAGCTCATGCAACTTGATGAGCTTCACAAAAAACAGACTAATGTCCACAACAATTTAAACAATACTAATGAATAACATAGCGACAAAAGAACTAAATAAGGCAAAAAATAAAATGGAGAAGAGGCAGAGACAAATACACGAGGGAATAAAACATTAACATATAACTGCAGTAACACAGTGCACGAACTGTGTAGCATATATTAGCTTATATTAATGGCTAGAATCATTAATAATAACAAATGGAAACACTGTAGAAGCTGACTGCATTCCACTATTATTTAACAAACACAGTTAAGTTTCAAGAAACATTTTGAGAAGTTAACGCAAATAATACGAGTAACATCAAATAATACAAAAAAGAAAATAACAGCAAGAAGAGGAAATTCACACAAACATAAACAGGCCTTCCACTGATTTTTCCTGTATCTCGGGATTCAAGAGAAGTTCACTATGGGTGAGATAGCTTGTGGTTCACTTAGTTCCTTCTCCACGTGAAGGTTCAGGTTAACTCACATCGAAGTCCTGAGTTGAATGGATCCAGTTAATCCTGGAAGAATACCAAGAGTTTGCTGTGTAAATTTCTAAGACATTTATTTGCTCCATTCCCTGCT